GTTAGACGTTTGGTTTGATTGGAATTGTTGAGTACGCGAGTGCACTAAGTGCCGGGTGGGCTGTCGATTGAGTTTTCTGGGATTACGCGACCAGGGAACCACACGGTAAGCGAGGATATCTAACTTTTGTGAGCGACGTAACTTCGTGCGAATCTTGGTACCGGATTTTGTGTGTTTTCGTAAGTTTTGACCGCGCGTGTAACGGACACGCGGAGGGAAGATCCCTCACCCTCGAATTAGACCAAGGCACGAAGGTCCGTCGACCGGCAGGGTTCACAGTTTGGTATTTTGTTTGAGATTAATTATTGAATTCGAATTTGGTACGTTCTCCGAATTGTTTCGTGTCGTCCGCCCGTCAGGCATATGTAACTTTTGATTTTGTAACGCGTAGAACGCGTACAGGTCCTTGACGGTCGGTTGTCGTATTTTGGTAAACGCGGATTAGCCGTGTTACGATATTTGACTTGAATTCGTACGGTACGCGAAGTAACCGTTATTATTGTTTGATTGTATTTCGTTTTGTCTTTCGATCTAGATTAATTACTAATTTTTTTTTGTAATTTATTGATTCGGTATTGTCCGAAATCGTCGCGCTTCGCGCTACCGATTTTCTTTAATAAACCGAACCATTTTCTTGAGATCGAAGTGTCCGAATAATTTTGTGTGTCGCGTGATCGTCTGACCCATCCGACCTATTGTTCCGAATCCCGCCGCCTCCGCGTAGCTGAGTTAGCCAACGTAGGCACGCGAAGACATATCGTAGGATCTGATACGTGGTTCCCGTTTTAGAACCTGGCGCCCAACAATACCTTAGGTATTTCGAGAGTAAAAATTTGTTAGCCCCTGGGTTGCCTGGAACGCGTAGGAATCGCGTAAGGTTGTGCGCCGGTCGGTCTTGCATTTTCCGGTGAGGTCGATCGGGTAAAAATACGTCACAATGTATAGCGTAAATAATATTTAGGAGGTAATAAGGGCGACCTCCCCGTACCCGAATCACACCAGGGTGTCTCTATTGGCCTCATAATAGAGGACACACCCTGGGCAATCGGCTGCTGGGTGCCTGAGCAGCACGCTTCGGGCACAGGTTGTGCACCGCGAGAGTTTAAACACCATTTCCGTATCGAGTAGGATGTAGTGCATACCGTGGGGGGTGTATAGCGGCTGCACGTCTGGTGCTAGCTCGCTCACACACCCCTCGCACAGCTCCACCCACCGGTACGCATGTATATACCCGTGGAGGCACAGGCCGTTGTTTAACGCCTCGTAAAATATGTTGTCCGGCCTGGGCGATGGGGTGTTCCGCTCCCTACCCACGTCGTCTTCACTCCTTTCAAGAGCCGCTCGTGGTGCCATTTCTTCTGTGTATTAAAAGTTTCATAATGTTTTAAATAAAAAAAAAATTAAATAAACGTATTGTCTTAAAATTATAACACTTACCGCTCCAATAGCCGGGCTCGTCTGTACTACTCCGTTAGTTGCGGTGCTGCTGCTGCTGCTGCTGCTACTGGTCAATGTCTACAAATAAGTGCGAAAGGCGATAGAAAGACAATACTTTTTTTAATCAAATAAAAAAAAAAAACCAGTACTAGCTTAAAACTGCTATATATACCACTTTCTTCTTTTTTAAATATCCTGCAAAAAAAAACAGGTGCGCTCGTCGCTCAGTCCGGTTACTTGATGCAACGCTGCTACTGGGTGGTTTCGGGCCTTAGGACCAGGGCCGCGTGGTGGGGGATCCACCACAGTGTCGCGGGGGGAGGGGAGAGCTGGTCACATAGGCGAGGGGGTGGCGCCATAGTGCAGCGCGGGGGGACACAGCGCGATGCGCTCTATGACTCATCGGGACAGTGGTGGGGGTTTGTTGTGACGGCCAGAAGTGGTATATAACTACTGTGAACGCAGTGTCCACGAAGGATGTGTATCCCTTCCCGTACATGGCAGCCATATTGGATAAGTTGAGGGCTGCCAAGTACATCTCCACTCTCGACTTGAGCCAGGCGTACTTTCAGATTCCGCTGGCAGAAGAGAGCCGGGAGATTACGGCTTTTAGTGTTCCAGGGCGCGGGTTATTCCAGTTTCGAAGGATGCCGTATGGGCTGAGCGGTGCTCCGGCTACCTTCCAACGACTGTTGGACCGACTCATAAGACCAGAGATGGAACCGCATGCGTTCGCCTACCTGGATGACATTATAATTGTCGCGGAGACGTTCGAGGAACACCTGGAATGGCTGGAAAAGATTCTGAAGCGAATCAGAGCGGTAGGTTTGGCGATTAATCCAGAGAAATGCGAGTTTGGCTGTTCACAGGTGAGATACTTGGGATTCTTGGTGAGTAGGGAAGGCCTGCAGACGGATCCTGAGAAAGTGGCCCCTATTCTGGAATACCCAGCACCGAAGAATTTCAAACAGCTGCGCAGGTTCTTGGGGATGGCCTCATGGTACCGCCGCTTCATCGACGGATTCGCGGAGATGTCGGCACCACTCACGGCCTTGCTGAAGAAAGGCCGGCGATGGAGTTGGGAAGAGGAGCAGGTCCGGGCGTTTAAAGCCATGAAGGAGGCCTTGATGACTCCGCCGACACTCGCGTATCCCGATCTCTCCCGCCCGTTCGTGCTACAGACGGATGCGAGCGCGGGAGGACTCGGGGCCATGTTGAGCCAGTCGTCCGCCGATGGCGAGCACGTGATCGCTTTCGCCAGTCGGACGCTATCGGACGCCGAAAAGAATTACACGGTAACTGAGCAAGAATGTCTAGCGGTGGTGTGGGCGATCGGGAAGTTTTCGGCGTACCTGGAAGGATACCGCTTCACTGTAATCACCGACCACCACAGTTTAAGATGGCTCCATAACCTGAAGAACCCGACGGGCAGGTTGGCGCGCTGGGCACTGAATCTCCTGGAGTACGACTACGAGATAGTGCACCGGAAGGGAGCCCTACACCATGTACCAGACGCCTTATCCAGGATGCATGAATCCGCCACGGAGGACGTGGCAAAGATCGAGGAGAAAGAAGACGCCTGGTACGAGCAGCGATGGCAACAAGTGGAGAGGAACCCGAAGCAGGTCCCTGGATGGACTATCGACGGTGATAAGCTCTACTACCGCCGAGAAGATCCCTTGCTCGCCGGAGTGCTAGACGACGCTGGCGAGTGGAAGCTAGTCGTGCCAGCCCAGGAGAGGGAAGCCGCCTGGCGCGAGGCGCACGAGAAGCACTCGGCAGGCCACCCGGAAGTAGAGAAAACATATCGCCGACTGGCCAGAAGTTGGTATTGGCCAGGAATGTACCACGACGTAGTTCGCTGGGTACGAGGCTGCACGGTGTGCCAAGCACAGAAGGTGCAGCAGCAGCCACCGGCAGGGCTCATGGGCCGACGGTTGGTAGAAGAACCGTGGACGGTAGTAACCGCAGAAATAATGGGGCTGTTTCCACCAAGTCGTGCGGGCAACGCATACCTGCTGGTCTTCCAAGATCTTTACACACGCTGGATAGAATGCGTGCCATTGCGGAAGGCCAACGGGAAGAACATTGCCAAGGCGTTCGAGGACCTCATCGTTATCCGATTCGGAGCACCAGAGGTGCTACTCACGGATAACGGGACGGAGTTCGTGAACAGAACGGTGGATGAAGTAACCAAGACCTATGGTATTCACCACTCCACGACGCCGCCGTATCACGCTCAGGCAAACCTGGTGGAAAGGGTGAACCGTTCATTGAAAACGATGATCGCCTTATTCCTAGAAGAGGACCACCGGGAGTGGGATGTCCACATCGCAGAATTCCGCTTCGCAGTAAATACCTCGGTGCATTCGACCACGAAGCTAACGCCAGCGTTCCTGAATCTAGGAAGAGAGCCGCGGGCAGGTCGCGTCGAGAGAGAGAGTGTCGGGCGCGAGGAACGAGAACCGCGGCCAATGGAAGACTGGGCGGAAAGGATGACTCGACTGTCCGCGCTGAGGGACTTAGCCCAGCGACACATAGCGGAAGCCTGGCAACGGCAGGCCCGTTATTATAACGCGAAACGGAAAGCGAGAGAATTCCAGAAGGAGGATAAGGCATGGAAAAGGAGTCGAGTACTATCCTCCTCGGCGAATTGGATCGCGGCGAAATTGGCACCGAAATTCGCGGGGCCCTATCAAATAGGACGCGTAATTTCTCCGGTCGTGTATGAACTCCTGAGTGAACAGGGGAAACCGATCGGAAAGGTGCACATAAAGGACCTGAAGGCATGGAGGTCAGAAACAGGATTAGAGACTAACGAGAACGATTCTGTTTCAGATTTACGAAAGCATGGCCGACCCAGCGAGTCCGGAGCGGATGGAGATGGGCGGGAGGACGGGAAAGGTCGTCGTCGAACTCCTGCCGCAGGAGATCGAGGGCCTGAGAGCCATGTTGACCCGGGAGCGGGAGAAGGCCGCGCGGGAGGAGGAGACGCGGCTGAGCGCGTCACTCACCCGGGGTCTCCAGGTAGGGGCAGTCGACGAGGTCGACGCGGACGCCCTCCTGGCAAACTACCCGGAGAGCGGGGAAGATCGGGTCGACGAGACGACGCCGGAAGCCCGGGAGGACGAGCCGCCGGCTCCAAAGGAGACAGTGAGCCCGCCCCGCGCATCACCGCGTCGAGCCCGGTCAAGGGTCCGCTGGGACGACGAGCCCTCCGAGGACGAACGCGCCACGGGACCGTCGTGGAAGACGGTCCGGCGGAGGATGGCCCGACGTCAGCAGCGGGACCGGAGTCCGGCACCCAGTGGGGAAGCCGGCTACGGCCGAGGACGCGGCGCAGAGAAGCGAGAGCGATCGCGAGACCGGTCGCAGTCGAGGGGTCCCGCGAAGAAACCGCGGCCGAACAGCGGCACTCTCGGCGAAAGCCAGGGAGAAGCCCTGGGAGCAGCGGTAGCCGCGGTCAAGTAATTGACTCCTTTCGCGCGTTTTTTATCTTTGCTTCTCCTAAAATTTTGAAAGAGTATAATTTTGCTCGCAATCCTACAAATTCAATCATAATTTTTCCATTATTTTCGTCCTTCATTAACCCTAATGCTTTTTTATTTACCAATGGTATATCATAAACGTTATTCGGAGGGTAGTCTGAGGTGTCAAATTTATCTAAGTCACGTTTAATATACTCATATATATTCGAAACGGTAAAGTAGTATATTAGACTACCGGTGTCGGTATACATCAATTTAGCTTTCTCACCAAAAGTATTTTTTATATAGTTGTAGTGAAAATCATATATGTACGTTTTAGAAATGTCTAGAGCGGAAAATCTTGCGTATATCGGTTTATTGAATTTAATTTTTCTTCGATTTAATTCTACTATGATCATATCTTCGTCAAATACGGTGCAGCTATGAAAATTTGGTTTTGCAATCAGAGCCTTTGCTCCATACGCTCCGTCCCACCTAGTAACCAATCTAACGTCCTTTTGTTTTCTGACATTTTCCATTGTTTTTCCGAAAACCGAATTGTTTATAAGTTTATACAAATTTTTTTCAAAATCATTATTCGATTTTTTTCTCATTTCAGTGTTCAATTCTATATACTTTTTGAGTCACGGTGCCTGTTTAAATTTTAGAACATGATGAATTTTTGTTAACTTTAAACCTAATCTCAAACACTGTTTCAAATTCTTATAATGAATGATGTATCTATTTTTGGGGAGGAGCGAAGTTATCAATTTCGAATTTTTAGAGCCTGGAGGAGTGTATTGTTGCGGACAGAGTGGCAAATCTTTATGAAGCTCTTGAAGCTCGACAGGATACTCCAAATCAATTTCGAATATGTAACCCGTAAGAGAGTCATCGGGAATATTGCAAATATCCAATTGTTCAAAATTTTCTTCCCATTCGAATGAGCCTACTGGTGAAGATTGACTCATAACTGCACCGTATAAATTATTTACGTCATAGTACATAATATACGATTCCTCTTTGCTT